AGTTGTAATATTCGTAATTGAATTTTAAATTAGTGACTTGAAAAACTACATTCAAATCTGCTATCCTTTATACATTATTTGAGAAGTGATTTTCTCAAATTTGCTTATGTGTCACCACAAGAATCACTTTCACCAATTTTATTATGACATGGCTTCAAAAAAATTATGACATGGCAAAAATGAATTAAAACAACAACTTTTTACAAAATCTTCTTTAATTATGTTTACATTTCTTTCCATAAATAAATCAAAAGAAAATTTAAATAATATTTTAAACTAATATTTAAGTTTTTCATTAAAAAAAATGTTTTTTTTTTGTCACAATGAAGTTTTAGAACGGTTTTTCATATAAATATATTTTTACTGACATTTATAATAAAGACTTAACAAGTTTTTAAAGAGATTTTATTATGTTTTGTGACAAAAACTTTTCAAATTTATAAAAACAATTATATGTTTTCTTAAAAAAATTAATTTCTAACACAAGATAATTTGAAAATAACAAAATCATTTAAGATAAATTGTATATAAATTTTTATATCTTTATATTAAATATAATTTTTTTTAAATCAAAGGTTACATATGTTACATGCTAATATTCAAAAAGCTAATATTCAACTTTTATATTTTAAGAAAATCAGTTAACATTGTCATATTATATTTAATGTTTAGTAAAAAACACTATGAAAATTTCAATGTAAAATAAAAAAGATCGGACTATAGAAAATTGTTCAATAAATGAAACAAATTTCTAAATGTTATATTTTACTAATTATCCCATATAAATAAAAATCGTTTTTCTTTAATAAAATATGAAAAAGTGTAAGAGACGTTAATCATAATAAAAATAGATAAACAACAAAAGTTTGGAAAACAAACAAGAAGAAAACATAGTGTACTTGGATTATTTTGTATGAAAAACATTATTAATTTTTTTTTTTCACAAAAAATTGCTCACATTAATCTTTTCATATTTTGATGTGGAATTCACTTTTTATTCAAAATTCAATGTGAAGAAAATGATATTAAAAAAAAAATTATTAAATAGAGAAATTTAAAAAAATGCCACTTTCCAAGTGCCACTTTACATAAATGCCACACTTTTGAAATCTTTACAAAAATGCCACTTTTTCAAAATTATTTTTCATAAAATATAATTTATGTTTGGGTTAACTATATTATATTAGGGTTT